TTTTTTTTTTTTTTTTTTTTTTTTTTTTTTTTTAAACGGGCCCAGTGCCCAAGGCTTATATTAACTCAGAAAGGGCCCGTCAGTTCCGTGATACTGCCTTTTTTTTTTTCGATTTTTTTACTTCTGATTCCATCAGCAGAGGGCTCGAACTCAGCTCTGGTGACCAACATTGGTAGTTGTACCACTTAGTCGCATGGACTGGGTCGATGATGATAGAAAACTTTCCGGTTTTTTTTTTTTTTTTTTTTTTGGATTTAACGAAGCTAGAATCTGAATGCTACAGTGACGACCTTGCAGATCGGTAATCAGCCCACAAGATACAAGCGTCACAGATCCGTGGCAAGCATTGATTGCCAATATTGCACCTTTGCATCATGTGGTAACAGCTATTGCAATTTGGACAAATTAGCTGATATATAGGCCGCAGTTCCAGGGGCGTGGTCCCACTAGCAAAGAGGACCAGATCGAATGTCTGAATCTGGACGGTTTTTTGGAGAGGTGCAGGAAATCGAGATTGAACTTCTTTTCTGCATCTCTGCGTAAAACACATCCAGATTCAGGAGCGTGATCCTATCCTCTTTGCTAGTGGGACCTCGGCCCAGGAGGTAACTGCTCCGGCACTTTTTTGAAGCGGTAACGAATGTGGCAACCTCCCACGACTGTATACGTAAGTTTTTCCTTTGAGGGTTTTTTTTTTTTTTTTTTTTTTTTTTTAAGGAAAAAAAATAGCATGATTTTATCATATGAGCAACAGGAGGCCGGGAATCCCTCCACATCTCAACCGGGGACGCTGGGCCCGCCAATACTTGGCCCAGCTTAGGCTCATACTGGAAAACGGGTCCAGTGTCCCATGCTTCAAAATCCCAACATGCTATTCCAGAACAAAAGTGGAAACTGGACTGACAAAACAACTGCAGCAAAAAAAAAAAGAAAAAAAAAAAAGGAAAAAAAAAAAGGAAAAAAAAAAAAGGAAAAGAAAAAAAAGAAAAGAAACAACTGCAGCCGCTTACCCTGATCATGATGAACCTATCTTCCCAGTCTGATACGGTGGTCATGAGGGTGGATTAGCAATGACCTCCAACTGTGTGCCTTTCAGGGCTCCACCCCCCCCACCTTGGTTGGCATGCAGCAGGCTGCCAACCCCCCCACCTTGGTTGGCATGCAGCAGGCTGCCAACCCCCCCACTTTGGTTGGCATGCAGCAGGCTGCCAACCCCCCCACCTTGGTGGTGATCCCTCACGTACCAGCTCACCCCATGACCAGCCTGGACAGGGGCTCTGTTACTTCCCGTGCTCCCTTCTTGTCTGTTTGTGAAGAGCTTTCCAGCATCAAAGAATTGGGAAGTTGTTCTCAGTTATTGGCTTATTTTCCGTTTAGACGATGTTATCTCAAGGAGGGGTAGGAGGTGGGTGGTAGAACTAGGAAAGAGCTTCAGTGTTTCGCGGTTTTCTCCCACTTTTTTTTGTCATTTCTGGAGCCGTTTTTAATCTCATCATTGCTCAGTGATGCTCATCACAAATCGATTCCTCTCTTCTACCGCGCCTTCTATCCAGCCTTTTTTTTTTTTCTTTTTTTGCAAGGGAATGTGTTGCTTTCCTTTTTAGGCTTTTGAAGTATAACCTGAACAGGAGTTTGCAATTTGAATCGAAATCCGACTTCGTGGATGTTAATCTCCAGAGTGCTTTCCATACAGTTAACAAAGTGCCAAATCAATCGAAATTTTGAAATCATTCTGTTTGTTCGGTCTTTTTCTTTTCTTTTCTTTTTTCCCCTTAAAACAAAATAAAAACAGTCTGTTTGTTCTTTGAATAAGTTGAGTCAAACATGAGTTCTGAGCTCAAATGTTCTTCGAACTATTTGGCCGCCAAATTGCAGATGCTCGTGGCGTGAGGATTACGGAGAGTTCACCTACCGTGAATGTGGCTTCCCCTGAGACCGTGGAACTCACAAAGCTGGGACCAAGTGAAGAAACTTCTCCCTCTTACCTACCTGCATATCAACTCCCCTTATCCATTTCTTATCGTCTTCTTTTCCTTCTTATACTCATCTTTTTTTTTTTTTTTTTTTTTTTAATACAAAAAACAGGCCCTTATGGTCCTGGCTCCATTTCGATTCTGGGGAGCATCAGTCCCTGTCTCTTATACACATCTAGATGTGTATAAGAGACAGCCCTTTTTCCCCTTCCCCCCCCCCTCTTTGGTCTCTGCAACTCCTCCGATCTTGCCGAGTCGCAGTAGCCTGCTGCCCCCACACCGACGTCCCAACTGCGATTGTCGTTAGTACAGTACCGTTTCAACTGTAGTAGACAGATTAGGCTGACAGACTTACAGTTATAGTACTACAGTTGCCCCCCCCCCTCTTCCCCCTCCCCCATCTCTTTGGTCTCTGCAATTTCCTTAACTCTCCTCAAGTTAAACTAAAACCATAGCTGCGAGAAAACGAACGAGTAGTAGACAGATTAGGCTGACAGACTTATAGATAGATCGATAGATACATAGATACATAGATAGATNTTTAATACAAAAAACAGGCCCTTATGGTCCTGGCTCCATTTCGATTCTGGGGAGCATCAGTCCAGTTCCTATTCCACCGGCAAGTCAGAATAAAAGAATACATCATAAGTACTCACCCACGCTTCCTTCCGTCCGGCCAAAGGACCCCTGACCAGCATTGATTGCTCCAGCATCGTGGAGGATTAACTGTCAGCTTGCCCTGCTTCATCCTTTCCTCTCAGGTCTACCGTGAAAACCTGTCGTATAAAGCATGACTAGCGAGAAAGATCCTAGAAGATGCCAAAGCTGCCAATTTTGTGTAAATTGTAAACTGTAAATCTCCCATGTGAGCCACATGAAAAGTCTGTTATTCTGAACCCTGTTTGCCCTAATTCTGACCAGACCCTAAACCCTAAACCCTCAACTGTAGGTTCTCTCCTCCCTCTGTCCTAAACTTTTTCATTTTTCCCCTAATGTTGTCTTCCGAACCCATAACCCATATTCGTTGTACCTTCCTATCCCCTTCACTTATCGTTCCTTGCCTTGCCTCACTTTAGTTCTTATGGCAGCCTCAGTTCTACAGTCTCCTCTGGCGCTCCTCTTTGAACCAATGGAAGATAAGTCTCTCTCCTTCCATGGTCGCAACTTTGCCCTGGGCTAGTACCCTTATCTGAAATGATTAAGGTATCCTTTGCCCTTTCTGGGTTAAGAGCCACTTGTTTCTTTGTTCTTCTCCATAACGCCCTAATCTCTGTCTACAACAGGCTATAGAGCATTGCCTTGGCTTCGGAATCTTGCCCACCACCTGCTGACATCTTCGTTTCCAGATTGTCTCAGAAGCTGAAAGATAAATTTGTGGCCTGCCCGCCATCCCTTAGGCACCTCACTTCCTGTCAATATTAGTTTCCTGTTTTGCGGGAAGGGGACCTCCGTAGTGTGTATCCATAATGAACGAGCTAGGGACCAGAGATGTTCTGCTTCCGGGCAATGGAGCAAGCAATGGACCAGAGTTTCCAGAACGCCTCCCTTACACATAACACAATCTTGATCTGCGTCGTTCCTATTGAGCCTGTTTCGCTTATCGAACAGCCAAACATTGACTGGGAGTGCTGCATGAAAGATGAGCCACTGCATGCTCCTGACCTTGGCCAATCTGATACCGTGCAAAGATGACCATGGTAACCTTTCTACCTGTTCCCTTGGTATATCAACTCTCTTCTCCCATCTTATCGCCAAAATGTGATCCAAATGGCATGATCTCCCCCTCAGACGGTACCCCAATTTAGTGGTGTACTGAAGTATATTAATTTTCCTAGTTACTCTTGACAAGCTTCCCTTGGTGTTCCATGCTCACTCTGCTGGATCGATTTCCAGATCCCGAATGGCTGTCAGTGGCTCAAATATTGTAAAATCATCATTCTCCAGCACTCTGACCTTTCTTAAGGTGCTTTTCTTAATGGCGATCGGAACCCGCAACTCCTTATCCAGAATACCGACCGTGATTCTTCTAGATAGTATTGTGTACATATCTGCTTCCACCCAGTGGTTAGAAGTTCCAACCTCCTGTCCTATGCGAAAAGCTGCCTCCGGTTCATTAGTAGAGGTTATTGTTGCCCAATCCCCCTATCTCCATTTGTCTGGTTCCTTCAATATCCTTGTCCACTCATCCGGGATCGAGACGAGAATGTCATTCAGGTTTTCCGTTGGTCTGTGACAACCCTTCATTTCCTCCCTCATCTCCCTCTCTGTTTTCCATCTCCCCTTGTTGTCTGACCAGAGATGTTTTACCAGCCATACCCCATGCTCTAACCACTTCCCCCGCTTGGCATCCTTTGTTGTTAGTGTACTAGGTCTTTCTTGAGAGTCTTTTAACCATGGATTACAAAAAAGCGGTTGTCTAAGCACTCCGTCCTTCGTTTTGGGTTGTCTTACTCTTGTCGGGAAGACCTCCGCCCAAATTTTGAGCAATTGAGCCCAATATGTACCCCTCGTTGCGTCTTTATCTGCTACTTGTTCCCCCATTCTATCCTTCTTAGTCCAACCCTTGCAGAATAGTCAAAATGTACCCTTCATATTGGAAGGCGTTTTACATCTGGTCATCTGTCGTATGTGGTCGAGTACCAATGGGACCCACCTAAGGTGAGGATGTGTTAACAACTTGATGATCCACTTAGTTTGGAGTGGCCTTATCTGCTGTCCCGGATCCAAGACTCTCAGTCCTCCCTTATTCTTTGGTTGAATAACTTGGTTCCATGCTACCTTAGATATAAAGTTGGATCTCGTTGGATTTGCTATGCACAAATATGTTGGCGGCACCCTCTTTAGTTTTTGTAGTGTATATGCAGGTGGTGGCCATATTGTTCCCACATACCATAACATAGAGAAGGTGGAAGCATTTATGACTAGTGCCCTCCCGAACAGTGAGGTATGTATTTCCGACCACGACACTAGCTTTAATAGCATTTTTGTCATCTGTTCTGGCGCCATGGAGTGGTGGGGACCTTTGTCCGCCATTCTGATCCCCAAGTATCTCATTGCCTGATCCGGCAGTAACCAAGTCATCCCTCTATAATTTTGTGGTTGATACTGTGGTTGTTGGTCGTCATGTGATAGCCACAACCCCAACGTCTTCGGCCAATTGATTCTCATCTCCAATGTCAGCTGGAATGCCGCCATTGCTCTGGTAAGGGCTTGAAATGAAGAGTCCGTTGCTCTGATTAGTACCGTGAGATCGTCCGCAAATAGTATTGTTGTCGGTAAATGTGTGAGGCGTCCCCGCTGATCCGGATGAGCAATCAGATGGTCTATCGAAGGGTCTTTCCTAAGGAACGAGGCAATAACTTCCATTAAAAACAAGAAAATAGGAGCCGCTAAAGGATCCCCTTGCCTCACCGATCTCGTCATTTTATACCGATCCGAGAGGTGACCATTAACTTGGACCTACCCGTGGGCATCATTACACAGTACCCGAATCCATTTACGAAAGTTAGGACCCACTCCCATCTTCTCCATACATTGTTGTAGAAAGTTCCAGTTGACTTGATTATATGCTTTTTCGAAGTCGAAGAAGAGAATCGTTGCATTTATCCTCTTATTCATAATGTACCTTACCGATTCTGATAAAGTCATAACATTATCCAAAATAAATATTCCCGGAATGAAACTTGTTTGATCTATGTGAAAACAACCTTCTGTAACTTTCTTGAGATGGTTAGCTAGTGCTTTAGCCACAATCTTGTGAGTAAGGGTCAACAATGTAATTGGTCTGTAATTTTTACTATCCCTAGGGTCTCCCTTCTTATATTGCAGAGTAACAATGTCTGTTGCCGACTCTAACCCCAAACCCTCTTTCTGCCAAGCTTGATTGAGAAAGGATTCGTACTCTCCTCCTAGGATAGACCAAAACTCCAACCAAAATTCTTTAGATAATCCATCCCTACCCGGCGTCTTGTTAGGAGGCATAGACTGTAGGGCTTGCCTCAATTCCTCCTGAGACAGAGGGGCATCCAATTTTTTCGCATGCTCCCTCTTCACCGTACAATCCAAGTATGATAAAAACTTATTTTTGACTTCCTTCAGCTGATGAGAAGTATAGTCACATTCCCTTGAAGTGTATAATGCACTGTAGAAGTCGTAAGCTACCGAAAGCATCCCTTCCGGATCCGAAACCACTCCTTGCGGGCCTTCCAACTGCTCTATTAGCTTGTTTCTTCCTCTTGCTTTAATCTTTTGAAAGAAGTACTTTGTCATTCTTTCCCCCTCCTCTCATTCTTTCACTCTCGCTCTCATCTGTAGTCCCCTGACCCTCCATCTCTCCCAATCACCCAATTCATTTCTTGCTGCTTCTATTATTATCTCGTACATCCCTGATCCTGGGTTATTAAATAGGTTCCTTTCTGCTATACGCAATGCCCTTTGCAGTTCACTTTCCCTTGCCGCTCGTCTTACAGCCAACTGGTTGGCTACTGCTGCCGACGCAGCTGACAGGGCTTCTATAAGATCCGTGAAAGATTGTGTGTCCGGATTGTGTGTTAGACACACTTGCAGAATAGCTTCCCTCAACTCCTTGGTTCTTAATAACGAATTATTAACCTTATAGAAACTCCTTCCTCTGTGGACATATTTGTCCATAATGAAGTTAAGAAATATAGGTTTATGATCTAGGCACGTACAGTACGGTAAGTCCGCTACTCCCACTGAGTGTAATAATCCCACGGTGTCTTGTGATATGAGGAAGTAGTCTATCCTAGATGTTGAAATATGTTGACTACGATTCCTTTTGTAATACGTGAACTGTTTCCCTTCTGGCTGTTGAAGTCTAAATGGGTCGACCAGATCTCTAGCCGCCATAAGGTTATGAATAGGTAGGGCTTCGTCCCACATCACTCTTTCCCCTAACCCTGACCTTCCGTCTAGTAGTCTGTCTCTATTAAGGTCCAAAGTAGCATTCCAATCCCCAGCCAATATGAA